ATGCTAATATGATTCCATTTACAAATACTCTATTCATTATAACTTTTCAAGAATATACCTATTGTGTACAGTGAGGCTTAACCATAATCATTTTTTCCTGGCAGTATAAGGTTTCCTACTTCTGAAAAGTGATTGAGCTGACCTTGTCAATTCGATTGGGGGAGGAAGCACTCTTCCTTATTGTCTCCGAGAAGGGATTTACCTGTCCAACAGCAAGGCTGTGGATGCTGTCTCTGCATTATGTGATGTTGAGTAGCTGCTGGTATAATGTTACATTTTCCCTGAGCTCCTCTCAGTAGCCGCAACCAAAGCCCTAAAGTGTAAACTAGTCTCACTGTTTTCTTACTTCATTTCATATACAAGATATGCTAATAAAAATTATTTGTTGGCTGGACATGGTGGCTCATGCCTATAATCCCAGAATTCCAGGAAGCTGAGGCAGGTGGATCACTTGAACTCAGGAGTTCGAGACGAGCCTGGGCAACATAGTGAGATCCCCATCTCTACCAGAAAAAAAACCAAAAACAGCCGGGTGTGATGACACACATCTGTGGTCCCAGCTCCTCAGGAGGCTGAGATGGGAGAATCCTGTGAGCCAAAGAGTTGAAAGTGGCTGTAAGCTATGATCACACCACTGCACACCAGCCTGGTCAACAGAGGAAAACCTTGTCTCTAAATTAATGAGCTAGTTAATTAAATAATTTTGTTGCCGATGTCCTGATAAATATGTGACAAGCATTACTTGTAAAAAGCAATGTTTCTCTCTCTTTTTAAAAAATTTCAAGACATTTTCTTATCTGAATTACAACATAAACTGGGGCCAGTATTCAAATTAGGGCTCTCCCCAGCAAAATAGGAAGTGATAGCAATTTAGGACCTGTCTCCTTCTCTCACTGGGTCCTGAGCCTGAATCTTCGCATAGCTTTGTGGTGTTACGCAATTGCTCTTTGTAAGAGATACATAAAATGGAAACCTTAGCTATTCATAGCCAACTTAGGAGGAGCTGAATTTGATCAAGAAGTTTCTTGCCGGGTGCCATTTTGATGGCAACTATGTGTTTCTGAACAAATCCACTTACAATCTGGGTTTCAAATGAAGGTTATTTTAAAGAGCTGTAGCATGGCTTTTGTTTTCATCCTCTGTGGTGACTATATTTTAGAAGTAGACAGGCATTCCTGGCATATAGCCTGAATATTTTTTTAGGTTTTTTAGTGGTAAAAGAAGCTCACATGGAAAGGCAAGGGCAGAAAAAATCATGTTCAGGGCAGTCCTGTGTGGCATTACCCTCTGGTGAAGCAGATCCATACTGCATGCTGCTAATGGCTATTGCATGACAGTTCTTAAAGGGGTAAGTGAGAGAGGTGCAGAGGGCTGGTGAGAAGCGGAGCTAGCACTGAGGCCCTCCAAGTGGCATCATCGTCAATCGGGTTGGCGGCTGCTGCTGGAGATGGTTTGGCTGCCCCTGAAGGTTCAGCTTCTCACACTGTATAGGCAGGTAGATTTCAGCCATTTCTAAAGCCCATCACTGGCAGGGAAATCACATTTAATCCATCTGTGAGGTTCTCTAACGAGGAGTCTCTTTTTTTTTTTTTTTTTTTTTTAAGATGGAGTCTCACTCTGTTGCCAGGCTGCAGTGCAGTGGCACAATCTCGGCTCACTGCAACTTCTGCCTCCCGGGTTCACGCAATTCTCCTGCCTCAGCCTCCCAAGTAGCTGGGACTACAGGCACACACCACCATGCCCAGCTAATTTTTGTAGAGACGGGGTTTCACCGCATTGGCCAGGATGGTCTCCATCTCTCGACCTCATGATCCGCCCGCCTCGGCCTCCCAAAGTGCTGGGATTGTAGGTGTGAGCCACTGTGCCCGGCCGAGGGGTCTCTCTTTTCAGAAGTCAGAAGCGCTGGAATTGAAAACAGCAGCAAGAAGGCTTCATTGCATTCTTGAATTCAGGCTGTTGCACTCCACCCCCCACAACTGTCTCTGAATTGTTGCTACCCAGTTTATAGCTCCATATTTTTGTTGTTGTTTCTCCAGTGCAGTCTGTAGTGGTGGCAGGTACTGATCATAAAACAAATGGATAAGTACTGAATAAACTATATTCGTTCAGTTTTCTTTTTCCCTGGTGGTAATTTTTAAACTTTTCAAAATTAATGCTAATGGATATAGAGGAATGGGATATGCATTTCTGTGCATTTTTATGACCAAACAGAAAACCGACCCCTGAGAGTGACATATTCACTATTCTCTACTACTAGGGGTGCTTCAAGGGAGGAGTGTTTGAAGCCCTGTGGTTTAAACGAAAGGAGAGCATAACCCACCCCACCCTGAACAAACAGCAGCCGGGCAGATTTCATCTCACAAATGGAAATGGGAGCAAACAAATTTTTTCAAAGCAATTTTATAAAGAGTGGGCCTGTTTAATTGGGTTTTTTGAGCCAGGATTAATATTATAAGCTGGGGAGCTCTGTGACATGGCTGCGTCGTTGGCTTTGCCATACCGCCTACCTCCTGGGGGAAGGCAGAGGAAAGCGCTGCTATTCAGAAGCAATTTTACTTCTGCCTCGGCCTTCTCACTTCTCACTGAAGTGATTTACAGCCAGCCTGGACCCAGCGCCCAAGCCTGAGCTGAGTTACATGTAATGTTGGAAAGATCTTTCCCAAATCAAGGTCATATCTAGAGCTTGCCTTGGATATTTTTTTCATTTCTAATTTATGTAACTTTCTAATACGTTTAGCATTTGCCCTTCCCTTGTCTCCATCCTGCTTATTAAGGTGAATTTGCATAGAAATGGGATCTTGGTCTTCAGGACCATTCACCTGACACTTGATCCCACGAGGCGACCACTGTCTACTGTTGATTCCATGAGGATGACCCACAGAAGCGATGTCTCTCTGAAAACTAGAGGCAAGGCCTTAATTAGAAGAAGCCTTGTGTGTTAAAGTGATGGGGTGAATCGAATCAGCAAAGGCATTTAGCATTAACTTAGGAGGGCAGAATACTCCTTCCTGTTGAGTGGGTCATCCTAGGTCACAACCATTTTAATTTGCCTTCGATAGATGGATCTTGAAGAAAGTGTACAAAAAGTATATTTGTGGTGCTGTTGTTTGGAAGTACGTTTTGACTGGTGATAAAGCTCAGAGAGTTAACTATGACATTTTACTTTGGCTCCTGGTCTATTTTTTGCTTAACATCTACCTTTGAATGGGTAATAGTCATCTCTGTAAATTACCTTCGAAAGACCGAGCAATTGTGGAGAATCAGAGAAATGAGCCCCTTGCTATCACCCTGTTGCAGTCGCTTTAATCCTCTGATCTCTTGGCGTTTCACCCTCTCACTGGCAGCCACCTTCCTTATTTACCCAAATCTTGCTTACTTGGGTAGGAATTCCCACTGAGAGGACAACTGTGGTCCCAGTTGACTGGTCACTGAAAGTCTATTAGGTTAGAGGACATTTATTTTCTACCCCAAAGGGTTTGAAACTTAGGGAAATTTTGATCAACAAAGAAATGACAGCTTTCAAGATTGTCCTGACATTAAGATGTCTTTGCAGAGAATCACAGGATTTGATAGTCATGGAGATTAGGTCTCGAATTTCAATGAGAAAAGTTCATAGGAGATGGGAGTGACAGAAGAAAACTTGTGCTAATTTTGGTTAGGCTACCTTTGCTGGGGGAAAATGCATTCCATAAAATTATTTTAAAACGTAAATACTATTTAGCTTTATCTTGTATAATACTTTGCATATATATATATATATATATATATGTAGATATAGATTTTTATTTTTTTTGAGACAGAGTCGTCACCCAGGCTGGAGTACAGTGGCACAATCTTGGCTCACTACAACCTCTGCCTCCTGGGTTCAAGCGATTATCTTGCCTCAGCCTCCTGAGTAGCTGGGATTACAGGCACGTGCCACTGCACCTAGCTAACTTTTGTATTTTTAGTAGAGACAGGATTTCACCATGTTGGCCAGGATGGTCTTGAACTCCTGACCTCGGTGATCTGCCCACCTCAACCTCCCAAAGTGCTGGGATTACAGGCATGAGCCACAGCACCTGGCCTGCATCTATAATTTGATTTAACCTTACAACTTTATTAATTGAATATTATGATCACCAATTTATAGATGAGGAAACGGAGACTCCAAGGGTTTAATTACTTGCCCAAGAGTGTACAGCTATCTACCAACAAAACTGGGACTGAGGCCAGCTCTCTTGCCATTACATCCCCACTGCCTCCTAAAGCACAACTCTAGTTCATACTAAATGTATTACATAGGCTGATTCATTTATCTTTACACAGGTCTCACACGTTACGAGAAGGGGGCCACAATTTTAACTCAATTCAAAAATGTTAACATCAAAATTTCCAAAATGTACTTGATTTATAATATAATCATAAAATAAGTAATCTGACCAATGGAGTCTCCCAACTCGAAAACCAAAAAATGCTTTCTGCTCTCAAACCATGCAGAAGGAAGCTGAGTTCCCCACTGGCCAGTGCTGTCTCATTCTCTTAAATGATTCAGATGTGAAAGAGGAAATGGCATCTGTCTAATTAACACTGCCTGTTTAAATATAGCTGCCAAGGGACAGCCTTGGGACAGTGTTTACAGAATAGTCTTTCCAGCCCCTCGGGCCTCAAGTTACAAATGATAGCAAGCCTTCCCTCCTTATCAACTGCAAACAGAGATGCCCCCAAAAGTGGTGTCAGGCCAGGATGATGAAAGGAGAAGGGAAAGGCTGCGGTTGGCCTTCATTTCCTGCTCCTGGCATCTAGGGATCCCAAGAATGATCCCAGGACCCAGATCCTATAGATTCCAGCAGCTCTTCCTGCAAACACAAGCGCTTGTTGTGCGCCTGAGCCTTGCTCTCCAGCCTGGAGACATCCATCTGCCCACTCTCCTAGGAACTGCTGATTACCAGGAAGCACCGTGGGCTCTGCTGCCCTCCCCCTGGCAGAGAGGCACAATGACCACATTATTTCTCTTCCAGCTTCACCTTACGGCATGGAAGCTGTCGCCAAGTTTGATTTCACTGCCTCAGGTGAGGATGAACTGAGCTTTCACACTGGAGATGTTTTGAAGGTAGGTGACGTGGGGCCCCAGGGGAGCAATAGGGAGTTTCAGTTACTCAGTAATCTGACAGTCCCTGCCTTTGTCTCTTAAGAACTGCATGTGGTTCCTTTTAAAAAGAGAAGTTCACCTTGATTCCCTTTGTGCACCCTTATAGCAGACACCAACCAGGCCAGGTGATGGAAATATAGAGTCGGCATAAGCCACCATCCTTGTCCTGGGAGGTTCGTAGCCTGGAGAGGGGAACACATCCACCCGAAGGGCTGTTGCAGATGTTCTTGGCTAAGTTCTCAGGGAGCACAGGTGAGGGAACAAGTGATTCCACCTGGAAAGATGGGGGTTGTAGGAGTGCGTGCAATGTGAACATCAGGAATGCACTGAAGGTGACTTGGGCTTTTAGCTAAAGCTCAGAGATGTGCAAGCCCTTGCTGAATTCAGGGAGCAGCGCCAGGCTCAGCAGAGCTGGAACTCAGGAGGAGAGGTTGTGGATAGAGACAGCTTGGGAAAGGCAGCCACAGAGGACATGGCTCAACAAAGGCCATGCACACCTGGCCACCCAGGGGCTTTTTAAAGCTTGTCCTCAGCCTGCACTTGAGTTGTAGAGGCCACTTGCTGGGCTGAAGTGGCCTTGGGCTTCTCCCTCATTCATGCACCGTACTTTCAGACTCTGCATCTTAGCCCTTGGGTTTTTTGTTTATTTTGTTTTTTGTTTTGTTTTGTTTTGTTTTGCAAGAGAGCGTAAGCCCTTCAAAAGGGCTTTTGGGAGTATGTGGAGCCAGACCCCCGCTGCCTGACCTCAGATCACCCTCAGATAGCCTGATTCCTGGTCCGCAGCAGTCCCGATGAGCCTTCTCGGATGTCCAGCAACACTGAGGCCATTAGTGTCTCGCCACCGAGAATTATGTTTGTTATACAAAGAACCTTATCAGCATGTGAGAGAGTGACTTTGAAAGTGTCTGAGGAGCACAAAACACCACAGAATGGCTCCTTTTGGAATATGAACATGCCCATTAGGTAGCCTTCTAACTGCTCTCAACTTTCAAGATCTAGTACCATGGTGGCAAAGCGTAGGCTTTCACGAACTTAAAATATGAGTTGGGCCTCCTGACCCAGGAAAACCTGTCTGTCACTGCTTTGGGATCTTACCAAGGTCCTGGAGGGACTTGCCGTGCAGTGAGAAGTTCTTGCTTTCTCTGTGGGGCACTGTGACCATGTGACTGTCATCCACTGGAGACCATCCTTGCACCAACTTCCACCCTTGTCTTCCATTGCAAAGAGAAGCTGGTATCTTAAGTTTTCTCTATTCCCCAGCAAAAGAAAAGGAAAGAAAAACAAACTTTGTTCAACTCTGCTTCCCAATCCAGCTCCTGATTTCTTTCCTCTCCTTTGTTGCTAATACTGGGAAGAATTTTCTACACTGGGTGTGCCTCACTTCCTCACTTCCCACTCATTCCACAACCCTCTGGAATCTCCCTTTTACCCTCCCCCCAACATTCTTTTGAAGTTCACCAGTGATCTCCTTAATGTGCAGTATAACGACCCTGTGGAAATGTCTGTGGGGCTGATACTGCTAACTGGCCCTCTCCTGGAAGCCCCTTTCTCCCTGGCTTTGGCAGCACCTCTGGGTTCTTCTCCTCCCTTCCTGAACACTCCTACAGGTCTCATTTCCAAGCATTCTTTTTCCTCTCTTGATCCTGAAATATATACTTCCCTGAAGGTGCTGCCTTTGGCTTTCTGATTCTTCTTCTCACTCTGAGCCACCTCTTCCTCTTCTCCGGCTGCAACCATCACCTCTGTGCTAAAGACCCTCAAGTCTATGGTTCATGTTCTAGCTCTGACCTTGCTCTTGAACTCCAGACCCAGACTTCCAATTGTCTGCTGGATGTCCCCATATGAACTCCAGCCCCTGACTTCGGATGCCCAGAATCACTCCAACCCCCATGCCCATCTCACCCCCACTTCCACCGAAGCCACTCTTCTTTCCGTGTTCTAAGTATTGTCCTAGGTCAGTCACAAGCCAGGAGCCGCAGTTATCATCAGTGCCTCCCTTACCAAATCCTGGTGACCAGTAACCAACATCTCCTGAGCTCCTGTTCAGGGCCAGGATCTAGCTAAGTGGTTTGCAGACATGATTTCATCATCTGAGCAAACGTATGAGGTAGGCATTCATTTCCCCTCCATTTCACAGATGAGAAACTGAGGCTAGGGATGAAATCACATGTCCACGGTCACGCAGCTAGAATGAAACCAATCCAGGACCTGGATAGAACTCTGTCTGACTCCTAAGCACTAAACTCTGCTCTGAATGTAATTTTTTCCTCATATCTCTCAAGAACGTCTCTTCTTCACCAGAAGGGAGTGTGAGGCAGTAAAAAGGAGCATAGACTTTGAGTCAAATGGATCTTAGTTTGAATCCCAGCTTACTAGCCGTGGAGCCTGCGGCCCAGTCATCTGCCCTCTTTGAGCTTTAGTGTCTTCCTCAGCAAGTGGAGGTAGTATCTATCTTGCCACGTTGTGGAGAGGATTCGAGGTGATGACCTTGGCCCAACGCAGACGCCCAATAAATGGTGGCCTGCATTATCGGGATCATCCATCCCCGCTGCCTCTGACTGCTCAGATCATCGCGGCAGCTCCTTGACTGACCTCATTACCTCTTGTCTTTTTCCTCCTTCAATCATTCTACATACTAGTCCCAGAGGGATCTTTCCAGACAAATCGAATCATATCATTTCCTTGCTCAAAAGCATTCAGGGGTTTCCAATTACCAATTGATTGAGATTGAAAACATCTGGCCCCAAACCACTGTCCAATGTCATTATGCACATGTACACATGTGTGCACACACAGAGATATCTTTGTGGATGTAACGCCCGCAGGTTGCACTGCAATGTATACACCACCCTTTCTCAGCCTCTCCCCTATATACTCCGAGTGCCCCTCTCCCACACACACACATATTTGACCTCCTATACCATGGAAACCTCACTGGTCCTCCCTACTCGCTACCATCGCAGGGAAACAAATCACTCCCTCTTCAGCTCCTCCCCAACATTTCACACAAACTTCACTCATTTCCAGGCACTTATGATTTTGCCTCACATGGCAGCTATTTATAGGCAGGCCATGACCCTGTGGTCTCATGCACCCTCTATTTCTGCCTCTCATTGCTGCCTTTGCCCGGTGGGATCCTAATTGCTCATTTACGTGTTGTCTACTCCACTAGCCAAAGCTGTGCAAGGGCAGGGGCCGTGTCTGCCTCAATGTCTAGAATAGCTGTGCCTGGAACTCCCTGATATTTGGTGAATGAATGACTTCAATTCCTCTCCATTCCCTGAGAGCAATGTCATCATGCACGTGTGCACACAATGCCAGGTTCATCTTTGTGTCTTCACAGCATCTAACACAAGTCATGGCCCAAAATAGATACCCAGTACATATTTCTTGAATTGCTAAATTGCATTTCTTCCTGTTCATTTAGAATTCCGTCGGAAAGCCAACCCCCTCCCTCTTTTCAAATTCTGTCCATTGCAGGTAAAGAGCAAAATGGGGAGGGCTTGTTGACTGAGCCCCACAGAATGTCTGCAGGATGGTGGTTGGTTCCCATGCCTGGGGCTCCCCACATGTAATTGCAGTGTCTGCCCCCTCAATGGGTAACACAGGCAGGATCCTCACAAGTACTTTCAAAGCCAGTTCCTGACTACTCCAGCAACTCGCTTGTGGGATTCTCTGACTCATTTGGCCTTTTGTGCTAAAGACTAAACAGAGGTTTTCATTAGAAAGGTACAAAAAATGTCTGAGCAGCCACTCACCCTCAACAGACCATGAGTTTCCTGGGGCAGAGGCCCCAGCTTATTTATCTCCATATTTCATGCACCTAAGTGCAATCAGCAGGTGCTCGCTAGATGCTGATCTACACGGCATGGTAAACAAGATGGTGGACAGGAAGACGCCACTATATGATTTGATCTTGCTTCTTCTATGACAGAAACATTTGAAAACTCAGGAATCAGATTTTTTTTCCTATTCATGCCACAAAGGTGCATGTCACCATACCTGCAGCTACACACAGCACCAGGCTCACATTTGAATTTGCCATTAAATTTGCCAGCAGCTTTGAAAAATGTCTCTTGACCCAGTCCATTTCTGTCTCCTTCTGTAATGCATCTAATGCGACCTCATTTCTTCCTGCTAAAATAGCAACCTAAAAGCACTAAGAGTTAATTCTACGTAATTTGCTTCTTCAATACTTCAGATTTCTGCTATGCTTCTAAAAGCTACAATTTCATCCAATTTAAGAATTCTTCCTGCTGTAATTTGGCCCTTCTCTTCCCACGTCTAACTTATGCTCAGGCCATGTAACCCAGAAAATCATCTCTTAGGGAACATTATAAGAATTAAACAGTAAAGAGTAAAACTTCAAGTGTTCAGGCTGAACGCCTCGCTCAGGTTTACACGATGGGTACACGAGATAGGGGGACCAAACAGATGGAGAGATGAGAAGAAGAACAGGAAGTGCGGGGCCCTGGGCCCACAACGGCAGGAGGAAACCATCTCCCCTCCCCTCAAATACCTTTCTTTGCAGAAAATGAGAATTTTTTTTTTAAAACCTCACCTTCTATACATGGTAAAAAGCCTGTGAATTCACCTCTCTAGAAACACAATGTCAGGCAGACCAAGCACCAGGTGGCGGAGAGAAATGGCTGGCATTGTGGGATAATCTTTCAGTTTTAGAGGAGGTCTGAGGCATGATAATTAAAATTACAGAGCTGCTTTCAGGTCAGAAAACGAAATACAAAGTGTGGGTTTTTTTTAGTTTTTGAGACAGTCTTGCTCTGTTGCCCAGGCTGGAGTGCAGTAGTGCGATCTCGGCTCACTGCAACCTCCGCCTCCCGGGTTCAAGCAATTCTCGTGGCTCAGCCTCCCAAGTAGCTGAGATTATAGGCATGCACCACCATCCCTGGCTAATTTTTGTCTTTTTGGTAGAGATCAGATTTTGCCATGTTGGCCAGGCTGGTCTCAAACTCCTGACCTCAGGTGATCCACCCGCCTCAGCCTCCCAAAGTGCTGGGATTACAGGCATGAGCTACGGCACCTGGCCTCAAAGTGTGGTTCTTAGGGTGATAAGCCAGTTTCCAAATGGCCTCTGTTACCCCTTTCTGTGTGACATTTGCTACCCTGGCCAAACACCGCATTCCCGTGTGACGGGAGAAAGGAATTCCAACGCCATGAATTCAGGAGCGATGGATGGAGTGCAGTGCTCTTGGTTCTTTACGTGGCTACGAGGCGCTGCTGCTGGGTTTCCTAGTTCTTTTGACCTAGATTTTCTGCTTCCTCCCTTGCCCCCTTAGCACACACATACCCACATGTCCTTGGTGACACCAACAGTCACATTTGATGTTAGAAACTACAGAGTTTTCTGTTCTCAGCAATCTCGAACTCAAATGTGGGACACACTTTTATTTCTTCAGAATAAATGACTAAATTCAAAACATACACACATACTGCTTTAAAGAATACATAAACCCTTCCATGTCCTATTCAGAGCTGGAGGCCTCCCTCGTAAGAATACCACATTTGATGGAATTGTATTTTTTTGAAAAGAGTCTACACTTTCTGAAGGACTTTCAGGTACCAGGGCTCATTTGATCCTCACATCAGCTCTGTGAGGTGCTAGATGGCTATTATTATCCCCAGTTTTCACATGGCTAATTGACTTGGCCAAGATCACATATCTAGTGATGGAGCCAAGCTAGAAACCAGGTCTTCTGATTCCCAACCCACAACACTGTCCCCTTCCTTCCACCTTGGAGTGATGTTAGAAATAGGTCATCATCTCTGCTCAAGCACTTAGTTCTTTCCATTATCTTCCCATCTTCTTTTCTGGGAGAGAGAAGTCCATGGGCCCTGTGACTTCAACTCCACCCACTTTCTGATGACTCTGAAACCCCAAGCCCCACCCTCACCCTCTCTCCTAGATCCAGACTGACATATCCAGCTGCTTCCTGAGCTTTTCTTCTCAGTTGAATAATTCAATTTACAATCACCGCATGCAGTCTGAAGCCCATGAGCCCTTTCTCAGCCCTGCCTCCTCTCATGTATCTTCTATTTCTATAAAGCCATCACCACCTACTCAGTCTCCCAAGCCAGAAATCCAGTGGCATCCCAGAATCCTCTTCTCTCTTAGCTTCCAAGATTGGCCAAGAAATCCTGCCTGTTTGCTTCCTGAATTTCTCTAAAATATATCCTCGCCTCTTCTTAGCCCAGGCCCTATCATCTCTTGCCTGGAGGGCTGCGCTCATCTTCCTACAGTTTCTCTCCCAACTTTAGCCTTCCAATCTATCTTCACATTCTGATCTCTGATACAGAACTCTCTCTCTCTGTTTCTCTGTCTCTCTCTCTCAGAGACAGAGCCTGTCTCTGTTGTCCAGGCTGCAGTACAATGGTGCAATCAGAGCTCACTATAGCCTTTAACTCCTGGGCTCACGCGCTCCTCCCGCTTCAGCCTCCTGAGTAGCTAGGACTACAGATGCACTTCCACCACGCCTTGCTAGGTTTTATTTTTATATTCATAGAGACAAGGTCTCGCTTTGTTGCCCAGGCTGGTCTCAAACTCCTGGGCTCAAGCAATCGTCCCGCTTGGGCCTCTTAAAGTGCTGGGATTACAGGCATGAGCCATCACACCCAGCGAGAGCTCTTTCTGAACTCTAATTCTCACTGTTATTTCCCTGCTCAAAATCCTTTAAGGGCTGCCCCTACATTTTAAGATATTCACAGTCAACATTCCAGTCATCTGGAGGCACTTCATTCCCAGAATGCACCACACCTCCTCAGAGCTGAAGGAGGAAGTTCCATTGCCATCTGACTTGGCCTCAGTAACTCCTTTCATTGCTGAGGCAAGTGGTCTCTGCTCCACATATGAATGCCTTTTCTATCTATTTCTGCTTTATTCTTTATCATCGTACTTCTATCAGTTAAGATATTTTCAGGAACAAGAAACATAAACTAAAAATGGCTTAAACAATAACAAAGACTTGTAATTTCTCAAAGTCCAGAAGTAGGAAGGCTCCTGGGTATCATCTAATTCAGTGGTTCAGTGCATTATCAGGGTTCTTTCCATCTTTTGCTCTGCTATCCTTATTTAGAATTATTGTTCTAGTCTATATCATAGACTTAAAAAAGATTTGTTTTTTAAGAGAGAGTCTTACTCTGTTTCCCAGGCTGGATTGCAGTGGCAAGATCACGGTTCACTGCAACCTCGCCTCCTGGGTTCAAGCAATTCTCCTGTGTCAGCCTCCCAAGTAGCTGGGATTACAGGCATGTGCCACCAGGCCCGGCTACTTTTAGTATTTTTAGTAGAGACGGCGTTCCACCATGACGGACAGGCTGGTCTTGAACTCCTGGCCTCAACTGATCTATGCTCCTCGGCCTCTCAAAGTGCTGGGATTACAGGTGTGAGCCACCACGCCTGGCCTCAGACTTTCAAAACATTCTCAGTGGCAGTGCCAAATATTTGTCTTTTAATGGTGAATCTCATGTTTTGAGAAACCAGAAGCCACATACAGTCAAGTCTGGTGAGTAATATGACTAACCAAGGTAGACAATAACATGTGGGGTCACAGTCAAAGTGATGCCACAGAGTAACAAGACAGAACTTTTGGTTTTGCTTGGGATCTGGCTCTAAAAGCAAGTTTAGAAAAGGCATCCCCAGTATCTTGAGTTCCAGCCAAACTATCTGTGAAATACATAGCATGTGAACACAAAGAGTTACTGTTTCCAAAGCTGGCCCCACTGGGATGTTTAAGTTTTAATCTGCCTGTTTAAAAAACAAAAACAAATTAAATTTTTGAAAGTTTCCTGGGCTGGGCCTGGTGGTTCATACCTGTAATCCCAGAACTTTGGGAGGTCAAGGCAGGTGGATCACTAGGTCAAAAGATCAAGACAATCCTGGCCAACATGGTGGAACCCGTCTCTACTAAAAATACAAAAAATTAGCCAGGTGTGGTGGTGCATGCCTGTAAGCCCAGGTACTTGGGAGGCTGAGGCAGGAGGATCACTTGGACCCGGGAGGTGAAGTTTGCAGTGAGCTGAGATCGCGCCACTGCACCCCAACCTGGCAACAGAGCAAGACTCCATCTCAAAAAAACAAAAAACAAACAAACAAACAAACAGAAAAGTTTCCTGGTCACCTGGAAGAGGAAAAAAAAAAAAAAAACAACTATGGAGTAGCCACTCTTGGCTTCCCACCATCTGCTCAGATGAGGAACTTAAGGTGCTACCTGGGACAAATGAATTTCCAAAATAGAAGAAGGGATTCAGGGAAGTCCCTGAGTGCTGAGTCTGGGAGGCCAAGCCACAGTGGGGTGACATAGGTGGACGGCACAAGTGGACGGAAATAACTCGGGATGAGGAGAAGCTGACTCCAAAGGTAAACCCACGGCTCCTCTACAGGCCTGGGGTAAATTCTAGAACAGCTGTTCAGTTCTTTCAGCTTATTAACATATTTTCCCTCTAAGTCCAAAAGGTCCTTCTTTGCCCTACAGCCCCTTTCTCTTGTTTTTTGGTGTCCTCCCTCCAATGTCTTTGTCTTTCCTTTTCTTCCTTGTAGATTTTGAGTAACCAAGAGGAGTGGTTTAAGGCGGAGCTTGGGAGCCAGGAAGGATATGTGCCCAAGAATTTCATAGACATCCAGTTTCCCGAGTAAGTATTCACAGCCTGCTGAGATGGGCCTACCCCCACACACTCCACTGACTTTCCCAGCAATCACTACTATTCTCCATGGGAACCCAGGACATTGTCAAAAATGGCTGCCTCCGGAGATCTCTCCAGAGAGACGCCCAGAGCACGCAGCTGAAGGCCAGGGCAGGCGGGAGACTTTGCATTTCGTTTCATTCCCTTTTGATGTTTACACCATGTGTGTGTATTGCTATTTTAAGTATTTCTTTCCTTTTTTATTTTTTTAGTTTTTTTTGTGAGTCAGGGTCTCACTCTGTCACCCAGGCTGGAGTGTGGTGACTCCATCACCACTCACTGCAGCCTGAAACTCCTGGGCTCTACCATCCTCTCGCCTCAGCCTCCCGAGTTACTGGAATTACAGGCACATGCCACCACGCCGGGCTAGTTTTTCTATTTTTAGTAGAGACAGGGTTTCACCATGTTGGCCAGGCTGGTCCCCAACTCCTGACCTCATGTGATCTGCTGCCTCAGCCTCCCAAAGTGCTGGGATTACAGGCATGAGCCACCGTGCCCAGCCTATTTTAAGTTTTGGAGGTTTTTTGGTTTGTTTGTTTGTTTGTTTTGTTTGTTTTGAGACGGAGTCTTGCTCTGTTGCACAGGCTGGAGTGCATCTCAGCTCATTGCAATTCTCCTGTCTCAGCCTCCCTAGTAGCTGGAATTACAGGCGCATGTCACCACACTTGGCTAACTTTTGTATTTTTAGTAGAAACGGGGTTTCACCATGATGGACAAGCTGATCTCAAACTCTTGAACTCAGGTGATCCACCTGCGTTGGCCTCCCAAAGTGCTGGGATTACAGGTATGAGCCACTGCGCCTGGCCTATTTTAAGTTTTTATAAAATGAGTTTGTAAACTCAAATTACCTATAGTGATTTCAATCACAGGGTTCCCTAGAATTCCAAAGGGGGCGCTATTGGCCACCCCACTTTGAGAGCTGCTCTCCTAAGCACTTCTCTGTGACCTCCCAATCCTAACCATCCTCACCAGGCTCTCAGCCTTCACTGGGTGGGTGGACAGACAGACACTCCCTGCCTTCAGTAAAGCGTGCTCACCCCAGTGAGAGAAGTCAGTGGGGGAAGGGGAAGTTCTCTTCCTAAAGAGGAAATGCAAAATTGAGATTGGGCTTCGTTTGTCTCAAGAATTGACCACAAGGGTTAGATAGAAATCTAATCTTGCCTCAGAACCAGGGTCTAGCTCAAAGAGCAAAAGTTTGTTAGAAAACCACAGTAGTATTGGTGACTCCAGCGAGGTGCAGGAGCAACACTCATGGTGAACCTGAACTGACCACCAAACCAAGAGAATGACCACTGACCTTGACAGGGCCCTTGATGCTGCCCAGGAATCTGCTCGGTGACCTCTGCATACCCCACCTGCTCCTCAAAGCTCCAGCCCCTCCCTGCATCACTCTCAGCCTGTGACCTTGATTCCAGGTTCTCTGGAACAATGAAAGCCACCAGAAGTGAAGCTCCCAGATTCCTCACCCCCACCCCACCCAACCCCTACCACATCCACCTGCCTCCTGCAAGTGTGCTCAAACAGTCGGCCTTTCCTGCAGCTGGCTGGAAGGAACTGTCGCTGCTTCTAGCAGAAATTCTCCTCTCTCTCTCCCACATCAACCTCCTTTCCCTCTCTGCTTGATCATTCCTGTCAGCAAACACACATGCTGCAATTTCTTTCAACGTACCAAAACACAAACAAACAAACAAAACCAAACCCAGAGGCCAGGTGGGTTTTGTGGTGGCAGATTCCTGTAGTCCCAGTCCTTTTAGAGGCTGAGGGAGGAGGATCACTTGAGGCTAGGAGTTTGAGACCAGCCTGGGCAACATAGCGAGACCCATCTCTACAAAAAAATGTTTTAAGTTAGCTGGGCGTGGTGGCATGCACCTGTAGTCCCAACTGCTTGGGAGGCTGAGGCAGAAGGATCGCTTGAGCCTGGGAGTTCAAGGCTGTGGTGGGCTGTGATTACATCACTGCACTCCAGTCTGGGCAGCAGAGAGAGACTCTGTTTCAAAGAAAAAAAAAAATTAAATAAATAAAACAAGAAAACTCTTAATATCAAATCCCCTTGCAGTTGCCACTCCATCTCTTCAAAAGGAGTGTGTATATTTGCTGCTTCCAACTCCTCATCTCCCGACCCGTCCCGCCAGGCACGCCATGGGCTGCAGCTCCCAGGGGTCATCTCAGCCTGACCTGCCCTGGGGATCTCCCTCCCACTGGAACACCTTCTTCATTTTGGCTCCAGAACATCCTTCCTCCATTTGTCCTCCCACTGCCCTGGCTTCTCCTCCTCAGTCTGTTGTGTTGGTTCCTCCCACACCCCAGTCCCCTACAGGTTTAGAATGTTTCCTTTTCAGTGAGGTCTTTCTCATCACCATACCTTATATTAATCTCCCACCCACAGCGCCCCATCTCTGAAACAGAAAAAAAAATCTGTTTTCATATTCTCTACAGCACTTACCATCATCTGGCACACTGCAGGTCTTAATTATTTTGTTCTTTTGTTTGTGTCCCCCTCGACTAGAACGTAAGCTCCCTGAGGGCAGGGGTAGGTGTCTGTTCTGCCCACTACCATGTCCTCAGTGCGCAGGAGGGGGCCCAGCACAGTACTAGATGTTCAGTAAAGCTTTTGAATGAATGAATGAATATGTAATATTGAAACCATAACCACTCATATCTAATATGCAATGTGTGGTAATTTTTACAAATCTTGAAAGAAGCCCCCATCAGATTGCAGTCGGAGGACAAATGTGTATTTCCTAAATCCCCTTCACTTCTAAAATATTTCCTTTGCGATACAGCTGCTGTGGTGCATACCCTATTCCTTTTCCCATCCCCGTTACATTTCCCACACATGGCAGTGGTATGTGTGGTAGTCTCTTGTTTAGCCCTGTAGAATTGTGTGGCAAATACTCAGGCAGAATTTCCAGGTCACCAGAAACTGCTGCTTTCAGCCCCCTCAGAGCACAGCCAACCTTCCCCCTCAGTCCCGGAGGGGGACTCAGTCTCCAATAAGTACCTCCTTCCTGCTACCCTTGTCTCAGGTTCCCAAATTCTAGAAAGCACAGAGAATTGCTCACAAAGGAATCCAAAGCCAAGGCCTGACAGGCTTTTATCTTCAAGGAACATGCATATGAACCTTCTGGTGGCAGCAATTAGAGCAGCCACCTTGAAGCAATGTGACACAGTCCCACCTTTGGCCGCTGAGTGATTGTAGACACTCATTTTGCTTGTCTGTGGTCGAGAGAGGTCTCTGGCCTCCTGCCTTGAGGCTGCAGCCACAGCTTGCCTGGCCCTGTGTAAGTGTTTGACCTATTTCATACATGCCACGCTCTGTGCAGCTGTACCTCCAGGGGCTGCCACCCTGACCGTTCTGCTGATAGAGCGGTTTCTCCTGTTTCTTCTTTTCCACAGTAAAGATTATTTCCCAGCCTGGATTTTTGGGGCGGGCCCAGGATCTGGTTGTATAGACACCGCTCTCTGGCTGCTGCCAGCCTCGCTCATTTCCAAGTGTGTACACTGGACTCCCTAGAAACACTGCAGCCTCTGCTGGGCACACTGAGCAAAGCCCCCTTGTGCTCCATGCCCGCCTAGGTAACATGACACCCTGGGCTGTAACTCTCCTTTAATGCCCAGGAAGGAGCCTCTAGGCCACTGAGGCCTCAGTGCAGGCATGAGCACCCCAGGCCCTGCTCAGCCAGCTGCACCTGGTTGGCCCCAGTGCCTGAAGCCTTCCCTTCCCTCCCCGGTGCATCCTCTGTCCCCGCAGCTCCGGTCTATCTCTTCCGCAGCTGCCGGCAGGCGGCTGCTTCCTGCAGTGAGTCACTCCCACACTGCCCCATTTTGGTGCAGCGACACATTTCCATGATTGTTTCCCAGGCTGGAGAGAGACTTCTCCTGGAGAGAAGGAACAAAGAGGGTGAGTCAAGGGGAACGCTCCCTCGCCTTTCCTGAAAGCTGCCCGGAGCACTGGTTTGATTTCAAATAGCCCCTGGCCCCTCTTTGGTCTCTCTCTGCTCCCTATTGTACAGAGTCCCCAGCCTCTTTCCCTCTGGGTCACCTCTTCTTCACGTCTCCCTCCTGTCACTCCTGTGTCTCATCCTGATCCTCTTGTTTGATCTCGCCCCACAGATGGTTTCACGAAGGCCTCTCTCGACACCAGGCAGAGAACTTACTCATGGGCAAGGAGGTTGGTTTCTTCATCATCCGGGCCAGCCAGAGCTCCCCAGGGGACTTCTCCATCTCTGTCAGGTACTGACCATTCCTGACACCACCTTGACCCTTCTCAGCCTGTTAACCTCCCAGAATGCTGAAGCCATGAAGGGACCTCTGGAATATGACCCAATGGTCAGAAGCATGGTGGCCTAGGGGCCAAGCATGGCAGCAGCTTCACAACCTGCTATTCCCAGTGCCTCCCCAGAACACACGCACACCACTCCTTAGCACACTGGTGTGTATTCAAAATTATTTCTATGCCCATCTGCCTCCCCTTCTAGCCCAGGTGCTTCTGAAAGGGCAGGATTTTCCTCTACTTCATCTTTATGCCTTTAACAGTGTCTTGCATAAAATAGAGACACTCAGTGAGTATTTGTGGAAGGAAGAAGGGGTAGGAGGAGGAGAACTCCCACTTGTCCAGATCCATCTGGGGGTTTAAATCTTAACCTTTTCTTTTATGATTGATGCATATCTGAAGAAGAGTCAGGGAAAAATAGAAATCTCAAGTCATTGCTGTAGGATGTACAGGGGCGGAAAAGGTGTGGCACCTTTCTTCGCCCATCAGAGGAGTCACAGTTGACACTCCTACAAGACAGGTTAACGAGGAGAGTGGACACATTTGTTTAATCAAAGACTCATGTGACACAGAAGCCTTCAGAAATGAAGACTCAAAACCCAGGGAAAGCCGTCTATTTTTATGCTTAGGTTCGACAAAGGATAGACAGCCCTGTCGAAATGGGATTGGACAAAGGGGGTTTGATCTAAGGTAACAGACTGAGGTGGGAAACTGAACAAGGCCTGTCCCAAGTTTGTTTTCTTTTTCTTTTTCTTTTTTTTGGGGGGGTGGGGGGACAGGGTCTTGATCTGTTGCCCAGGCTGGAGTGCAGTGACGCAATCATCGCTCACCACAGCCTCTGCGTCCCAGGCTCAAGCCATCTTCCCACCTCAGCCTCTCGAGTAGCTGGGGATACAGGTGCACACCACCACACCTGGCTAATATTATTTTTTTAACTTATTTTTTTGTAGAGACTGGGTCTTACTATGTTGCCTGAGCTGATCTCAGACTCCTGGCTTTAAGCAATCCTCCTGCCTTGGCCTCCCTAATAGTGACCCTTCTAGTCTCTCTGACCCGCTGTGGGGAAGAGGAATTCTAATTTCTATGACTCACGCACGGGGAGAAAGAGGAGCGGGAGACCGGAGGTCAGGAAAAGGCCAAAGGAAGACTTTGCTTCCAAGGCTACTTGTGAAGCCTTCCAATCTCGTTTGGTTCAAAGCACTCAGCATGCCAAGGGGTGTCATTTTCTGAGCCCCAACAAATACATGTATAGTTGTAGGCAGCTGAACAAAAAGAAAGGCTACTTCAACACAGTACAGTACAACAAAACCGAAAACAAGAGAACAGAGCCGAGGAGGGCCAGGAGTGGGGGAGGACTGTAACAGCGAAATCTCACTAAGGTGCAGCACCCCATAGGAAGTGACTCAGTCCATGTGTAGACATTACACAGCCCCAAACTCAGAAGCCCAATTCGGAACACTGTGTGTGGTCAGCATGTTGGGGATCGCAAGTCACGTATCAGACTTGACCACATGTGAAACTGCAAGAATATAATGCTGTTAGCAGATCAGGAGAAGTACAGTAAAACGTTACTGTCAGGTTATTGACAGGAAATACCGATCTGGTTGATTCAATATATTTTGAAAGGCATGTGGCTTTGTTTTAAGGACAGAAATCCAATCTCAAGTAATAAACTGTGGCCACTTTGCTATTTAGAAAGAATGGATATTTGAAAGGATAGGTAGGAAGGACTTAAAAATAACAAGTCAACAATTTGTATGCCTGCATACCTTTAAAGTGGTCTCTTTAGCATTGCCCTTGCAATCTTGCTTAAACTCTTAATTTTCCTCAAGAAAAACTTTATTTTCATAGCTTGGAGAATGGTAAACTTTAGTTCAGGCCAATATTGATGTATCACAAATTCTAATCTTGTTAGGTCTTAATTAATGAAATTTTGCTCCATTAACATATATTACAAGTCCAGGTTGGGCGCTGTGGCTCATGCCTGTAATCCCAGCACTTTGGGAGGCTGAGGTGGGAGGATTGCTTGAGCCAACGAGTTGGAGACCAGCCAGGGCAACATAACAAGACCTCATCTCTACTAAAAATAAAAAATTAACCCAGTGTGGTGGCACATGCCTGTGGTCCCAACTACTTGGAAGGCTGAGGTGAAGGGATTGTTGGGGCCTGGGAGGTTGAGGCTGTGGTGAGCCAAGGTTGTGCCACTGCACTCTAGCCTGGGTGACAGAGCAAGACCCTGTCTCAAAAGAAAAAGATTATTTACATATATTATATACATATATAATTAGAAAAAACAATTTTACGTATATTATATTTAACATGTATGTATATATATTACAAGTCAAATCTATTTCTTAAGCCTCCCCTCTCTACCCCATCATAAACTTGACCAAGTAATTTGTTAGACTGAGGGCTATCTCTTGGGCCTTTGGTTTGCATGAAGATGACTCTGGCTTTTTCAGCTAGAAACTATGGTTTTTGTGGTTTTGTTGGTTTTTTGAGACAGACTCTCGCTCTGTCACCCAGGCTGGAGTGCAGTGGCACGATCCTGGCTCCTTGAAGCCTCCACCTCCCAGGTTCACAGCAATTCTCATGCCTTGGCCTCCCGAGTAGCTGGGACCACAGGTTCCCACCACCACGCCTGGCTAATTTGTGTGTGTGTGGTTGTTTTTAGTAGAGACGAGGTTTCGTCATGTTGGCCCAGCTGGCCTTGAACTCCTGGCCTCATGTGATCTGCCCGCCCCAGCCTCCCAAAGTGCTAGGATTATAGGCGTGACCCACTGTGCCCGGACCCAGAACTATGGTTTATATTTGTTTTATTAAAGTGAATTCTACAAAACAGTCAGCCTTGACTTCTACCAAAGTCTTCCCCTGATATTGAGGCAATGAAGCTTCTAGTTATGGTGACAATTACCGTAATCATTATCACATCTTCTGTAGAAATGCAGTATAATATTTTCCAAAGCAAAATCATTGTTAATTATTTTTACATCTGTCATGGGCACAAATAATTAAGAGCTAATTGTAGTTCTATCACTCAGCACTTGTTAAGGGCCTAAAACACCAGATTTTGGAGTCCAGCGCCCTGAGTCGCGTCCTTTCCTTTGTTCCACTTCAGGCTTGGGACAATAGGCAGGCCATCCTCTCCTTGTAGACCCAGATGACCAGCAGCAACCCTCACATCCATCCTTACAGCTTATGAGAGTCAAAGGGTTAGTGTTTCACACTCTGAGTTCTTTGAGGTGGTGGATGAAAAATTATAATATCATAAGAATATTTCCTCCTCCTCCTCACCCGAATGTGAAGGGTAATGACTTTGATTTGATCCATGTTGTCTTAGAAGGAAGAAAGTATCTGTTGGTGGCCAAAACCAAGGGGAAGACCACGCAGTGATTGCAATATGTTGATTACCACCCCAAATCAGTCAAGCAAGAGGCCACTTGCACAACCTTTGGCTTCACTCAGCTATGAGCAAATCTCAGCATGTAAGATGAGACTGAGGCTCAGAATTTCCATGTCCTTCTTAACACAGATGCCTAAATCCATCCCTAAGAAACCTCCACTTACTCTCAGAGGTATCTTTACTCTCCAAGACCCTTTAAAATTCTTGACCTTTCTTTTACATCAGGCTATTGGCATCACTAGTGCTGGTTTATTTTTAGATATAAATGTATGTCGTTTGAAAATAAACTTTACATCCAAAAGAGAATGACTTGGCAATGAAGTAAAACTGGATCTAATGGTAAAGGCTCAGTCCACCCTTCCTAGATGAATAAAATCCATTTTCTCTAGCCCTGGTTTGAATGTATCCCATCATTTGTGAGTCCAGACTGGCATCAGAAGGTGCTGATCTAAAAGAAGTTATCATGTTTACGTGGCGTGACAGGCAAGCTCACTAGACTGGAGTCAGAGACTCAGGGTTCTGGCCTCAGTCCTGCCACTCAGCAGTGACCTTGGCCAACCCCCTGAACCTCTCTGAACCTCAGTGTTCTCATCTGTAAAATGGAGAAGTAAGGCTAAACAATCTCCAAGATCCTTGCCAATTAAAACTCTATCATTTTGCCGGGCACAGTGCCTCACGCCTGTAATCCCAGCACTTTGGGAGGCCGAGGCGGGTGGATCACCAGAGGTCTGGACTTCAATACCAGCCTGACCAACATGGTGAAACCCCATCTTTACTAGAAATACAAAAAAGTTAGCCGGGTGTGATAGTAGGTGCCTGTAATCCCAGCTACTCAGGAGGCCGAGACAGGAGAATCGCTTGAACCTGGGAGGCAGAGGTTGCAGTGAACAGAGATCGCACCACTGCGCTCCAGCCTAGGCAACAGAGTGAGACTCCATTTCAAAAAAAAAATAAAAATAACTCTATATTTCATACAAAGCTATTTCGCCAAAAGCTGAAAACACTTTGTAACCTTATTTATGCAAAACATAAACCAAGATGATCCTTATTACATGGAGAAAAAATGTGACATATTTCTTAGGAAAGAGAGCAGCTTCTTACCTGCCAGTGCTAGCTTATGGGCTTAAATTAGGAGATGGTCCAAAGTATTTCTGGTAACAGAAAGATAATAGGAGCTTGAAATAACCCCATCAACATCTTGCAAATAAACATTGTGAAAAGGTCTTTGATCTCTTAGTCGTTAAGGCACTTGGAACATGCTTTTCTTGTGAAAGGCTAGTTCCAGTGTCCAAGACAAATTTTAGCTCATCTGATTACCTTCTGCTGATGTAAATCCCCTCTAGCATAGCCTGTATCCTAAGTGGTCCATCCTAGAAAGCTCCTGCCGAAGCCTGACTGGGCTGGCCCACCTGCCCAGTGATGAGTGAGTCATCCATATCTACATCTCCTGCCGAAAGAGAACTCCACCATCCCAGATGCGAGCAGCCTGGAGGTGGTGACATTATCACCGTGTAACATACAATTTCGTTTTGCCTTGATCTCCAGGCATGAGGATGACGTTCAACACTTCAAGGTCATGCGAGACAACAAGGGTAATTACTTTCTGTGGACTGAGAAGTTTCCATCCCTAAACAAGCTGGTGGACTACTACAGGACAAATTCCATCTCCAGACAGAAGCAGATCTTCCTTAGAGACAGAACCCGAGAAGACCAGGTATGCTCCAGGTCCGATCGACCCCAATCTAGAGATTTTAGGCAGCCCAAGTTCTCACGGGAACCGCAAGGAAAAATGCATAGGATGGGTATATCCTCTGAGTGTACTGAAAGACAGGGCTCAGAGCTCTGAGGTCAGATCTCAACTTAATACTTCCTAGTTGTGTGACTTTGGAAAGTTCTCTGAGCCTCAGTTTCCTCATCCATGAAGTAGGGATAATGGTAATATCTACCTCCCAGGATGGCTGTGAAGGTTGGAGAAGATAATGTATCCCATGCTTCATGTCATTCCTCGTCACACTGCACTCAACAAGCATCAGTTCTTACCACAGGTGCTGTTTGTTATTCATAGACATTGCTACACCAAAGTTTTCAGCCTAGCTCAAGAGTTGCCCAAGATGAAGGAGTTGGGGGTGCTACAGACAGGGACATTAGGGAACAGCCTAGAGGTCAGGAATTAATTCAGCAGTTGGAGTTTTATGATGGGATTGGGGGTGGGGAGGACATGGGAGGAGAAAACTGCACTTGGAATTATTGCTGTTGGAACTGTTTGGAATACAGAGTATTGCTTTAAAAGGAAATGCGTCAGACAGACCTGGTATGAGATCCTGCTTTAATCACTTAGCTACCTGTATTCCCTAGCCAAGTTAAGAAACCTTCTGAGTATCAGTTTTCTCATCAGTAGAATGGAGAGAACAATAAAGCCTCCCTCACTGGGCTGTTGTGAGGAGTAAATGAGTTACTACACTAAGCACTATCAGAGTCTGGTCCATATTAAGCACTAAGAAAATGTTAACTTGCCTCCCATAAGTAAATTCACACATACACACACACACTGTCTCTCTCTTACACACACACACACACACACCAATTTATAAACTATTTTTCAAAGGAAATAACATGGTTATAAGAGACAGGTATCATAGGAAGAAGCATTCACTAGAATAGCTGAAATCCTAGGGACAGGTTATTTGAAAAGGTATTGAGACTGTGAAAGCAATGTGTGCTTTGGGGAAGTCAAGAAAATCCTCCTTTTTCAAGTCCATAGTTGCTTTTAAGCCTGAGAAGTTACTGCCAAAGGAGAAAAGAAGTTCCCACCAAATGCACACAGAAGTTGAGAAAGGAAAACAAAGGCTAGCCAAGACCTTGCGAATCACTCTAACCAGGAAACGAACAGAGGTATTAACTCACTAGGATGTGCATTCAGAGATAAGAGAAGCAATATAAAATTGCATTAAACGGGATTAAATGAGTTGGTATTTGCAAAGCGCTTAGAACAGTGCCTGGTATATGCTACGCCCAGGGTCCTACGTAATTGTTTGTTAAATGAAAACAACAATATGGTATTTCTGATTCGTAAGGTTGTTTTAACATTAGGGAAAAAGGCCTTACTTCTTCCCCAGCGGCAGGCCTAGTTCCCATGGCATTGCAAGAATGTTGCTGTTTAGGTCTCTATCACCAGGCCATAAATGACAGTTCAGAATCACGCAGAGTCAACAGTGGAGCTCATCTGGAGGGTAGGATGTCCAGCGGTGTGGCAACATGTGATAACAAGGGGCGGCATTGTATCAGTAAAGTGGAATATTTCAGCTTGATTACACAGAGAAAAAACAAGCGCCTTGGAAATGGATTAAATGGCTACCAGGCGGAAAGTGTTAGTCTGTGAACCAGAGACCTGAACTCCTAAAACTGGGAGGATCTGAGAATACAGAGGCCACTTTGGAAAATGTGAAGGTCTGAAGTATCAATTCTCTTTCAGCTGCCCCCACCTACCAGCTATTTCTTGGAGCCAGAATGAGCAGGGTCCGGGAACGACTGCCCGAGGGTGGCGTAGGGCCCGAAGATCAGAGAGGACGATGCATCTGCAGCATCTCTCTTCTCTCTCCCAGGGTCACCGGGGCAACAGCCTGGACCGGAGGTCCCAGGGAGGCCCACACCTCAGTGGGGCTGTGGGAGAAGAAATCCGGCCTTCGATGAACCGGAAGCTGTCGGATCACCCCCCAGCCCTTCCCCTGCAGCAGCACCAGCACCAGCTACAGCCTCCGCAGTATGCCCCAGCGCCCCAGCAGCTGCAGCAGCCCCCACAGCAGCGGTATCTGCAGCACCACCATTTCCACCAGGTATCTGGAAAGAAGGCAGTGGGCACAATACGGCGGAAAGGAGAACCTGCCTCCCCTCCAAGCCTGGCCCAGCCTCTTTAGGTCTCAGAGAGTTCATGATGAAGACCCTGGACCCCCTCAAATGGCAGAAATAGGGAAACTGCTCTTGGCAAAGACATCTCTGTGAATTAAATGACTCCCGCCTGAACACAAACACACATACACATACACATACACATACACATACACATACACATACACATACACATACACATGCACACTCACACACACTCACACACACACACTTCCCCTGAGGACTCAGTGAACAATTGCTTCATTTTCCTATCAGCACACTTCCAAATCTATTCATGCCCCTTAACCCATCTGGCTGTCGAGATCCACAAGAGAAAAAGGCTTAATACCCACAACAGAGCCTTGTTTATTACTTATTTATCCGCTCCCACCCTTGTTCCCGATGAGTTTTCAGGCAGCTTACTGAGATGGACAATACGTTCATCGTTCCTGAATTCCTTAGCAGGGCACACAAAGTCCTTTGTGAGCTGCCAGAATCTATTTCCCCAGCCTCATCCCTGCTGCCTCCCCCCGACTCCCGTGCAAACATACATTCCAGCAACCCCACACTACCTTAGTTACCCGAATGGTCCACTGCGTTTCCTCTCATGCCTTTGTGGTGTTTTATATGCTGATCCCTCTGCCTGATGAGCCCCGCCCTGGGCAGTCCTACCCCTCCTCTAAGCTGGAGTTCAAGCATCACCTCCTCTGTGAAGCCTTTCTTGATTTCCTGGGCAGACACAGACATTTCTTCTCTCTGCTCACTTACCACTTAAATGCCCATGGTTCCCCCTCTAAATGGAAGCTCTATGAAGCCAGAGACCTTCTCTTTCCAGCTATATTTCCCTGTGTCTGCTACTGGACACGTGGTAGGTGCCTGATAAATATTTCTTGACTGAATAAATGAAACCCGCCTTTGCCTTCTTTGCCTTCTTTGCCTTCAGAATCTAAGGTCCCTTTAGACCTTAGGTCCTTCTCCCCCTCAGCGTGGAGGGTTTATTGTCATCACCAGTAAGTATTCCTGGAATATACCAGCTGTGTGGATGGCATCTGAGCAAGGCAGTGGGGGAACCGGTGGGAGATGTCCTGGCAGCGGGATGACCGGTCTTCTGTTGTATGTTTCTAGGAACGCCGAGGAGGCAGCCTTGACATAAACGATGGGCACTGTGGCACCAGCCTGGGCAGTGAAATGAATGCAGCCCTTATGCATCGGAGACACACAGACCCAGTGCAGCTCCAGGCAGCAGGGGTATGAGAACCATCCCTCTTGGATCCCTGGGGAAAGGCCCCGGAACAGAGCTCAATGGAGAAGATGAGGCAGGAGAAACTCAAACCACACAGATCTGGCTGGGCACGGTGGCTCACTCCTGTAATCCCAACAGTTTGGGAGGCCGAGGCAGGTGGATCACCTGAGGTCGGGAGTTTGAGACCAGCCTGGCTAACATGGTGAAACCTCATGTCTACAAAAAATACAAAAAACTAGCCGGGTGTGGTGGCAGATGCCGGTAATCCCAGCTACTCAGGAGGCTGAGGCAGGAGAATCGCTTGAACCCAGGAGGCAGAAGTTGCAGTGAGCCGAGATTGCGCCATTGTACTCCATCTTGGGCAACAAAAGAGAAACTCCATCTCAAAAAACCAAAACAAACAAACAAAAAAAACAAAAACGCACACACAGATCAAATGAGAGGGGATGGAATGTTTGGGGAGGCCTGGGGCTGAGCCAGCACCGTCCAGTCTGTTGATCTCAGTCTGGTGCCTGCCAGGCCTTCCCTGTTCTCATAGTCCTCTGTTCTGATTCTTTATCGTCTTTATCATAGTCCTTTACCATTGCCTTTATCATTGCTTTTTTGCTTTGTTTTTTGAGACAGGGTCTCACTCTGACTCCCAGGTTTGAGTGCAGTGGCACAATCATGGCTTACTGCAGATTCAAACTCCTAGGCTCAAGTGATCCTCCTGCCTCAGCTTCCCAAGCAGCTAGGTATATTATTTGTAGTGATACGCTCTCACTATATTACCCAGGCTGGTCTGGAATTCCTGGGCTCAAACAATCCTCCTACCTCAGCCTCCCAAAGTGCTGGGATTACAGGTGTGAGCCACTGTGCCTGGCCTGTGATCCATCTTGACTCATGACTTGATTGCCCTAACACCGAGGGCTATTGTTTGGGGCATGTTGCCATTCTGTTTGTCACTCAAAGAAGATAAAAATACCACCTACTGATGTGGAGAGAGTGGTTCTCAGGGAGTCTCTTGGGGCTTTGGACAGTAACATCTGTTGGTAAAAGTCCTGGGTCTCCAGAGTGACGCTGGTGCATTCTGGGAACTTCTTGCTCAGGCCTGTGCAGAGGTATCTGATTTAAATTGCAGCAGTGTAGCCGGGCATGGTGGCTCACACCTGTAGTTCCAGCTACTTGGGAGGCCAAGGCAGGAGGATTGCTTGAGGCCAAAGGTTCAAAACCAGCCTGAGCAACATAGTGAGACCCCATGTCTACAAAAAAAAATTTGTTTAAGCTGCAGAGGGGTCAGCCTTCAGGGAATGTTGCTCTCAAAGGACTTGGATGTGGTGGGAGGAGCCAGCAGACCCTCCCCTGCCTGCCCAGCCCACAGCTCAGCAGAGCCTCTTCTGTGCTTCCCCCAACAGCGAGTGCGGTGGGCCCGGGCGCTGTACGACTTTGAGGCCCTGGAGGATGACGAGCTGGGTTTCCACAGCGGGGAGGTGGTGGAAGTCCTGGATAGCTCCAACCCATCCTGGTGGACCGGCCGCCTGCACAACAAGCTGGGCCTCTTCCCTGCCAACTACGTGGCACCCATGACCCGATGAACCCTTCAGGGGACAGAAGCTTTTTGTCTGGAGCTGCCCACAAGGAAGGGGGCAAGGAAAAAAGGCTGGACTCCATGACTATATATACATACATCTGTCTGCGTCTGCCTGTGTACACACAACATTTTATACTAGTAATTTATTGGCAATTGGGCTGGTAATTAGTTGATGCAAAAGGGAACTCAGGTGGAGAAGAATATTCACACTTGCTTTTCTGCTCCCCTCAGGGGTGTGTGGAAGGCACTGGGGGAGTTGGGAGGGGGGCAGGGAGATGAAATGGAGCTTTGTCCTGGCCTTCAGCTGTCACTGCTTCCTCCTTGTCTTGGGAATTTTCACGGAGAACAGCTAAGCAGAGACTGCACCTCGGCATTGGACACAGAACAACAGGGTGGGGTTGAACATGGTGGGGCACGTTCTAGCTGACCTGCGAGCCCCGCTCACCTGGAGGGCTTGCAGGGCAGCTCTCCTCCTATTTTCCAAGGGGTGGGCACTGCTGCATTGGGAATTAAGGTGCAGCTCAGTGCCACGGGCAGCCAAGCCAGTCTGAGCAGGGATGTGGAGGCAGGACGGGGTTGGAGAGACTCTGCCTGTGCGAGGCTGGCCTCCTAGTCAACACCTAGCTGAGACATCCATCTCTGTTCAAATTAATATTCCTTGGGTCTTTCAAATGAATGTTCCAATGTGAGGAGCCAAGTCCTGGGAAATCGAGGGGTTTTCCACGATCCCCAAGCAGCTTACTCAGTGTAACCTCTACTTCCCCAGCTATGGAGGAAATAGCATCCTAGATTCCATAAAGTGCTTGGAGAAGCTCTGGCTGAGAATGCTGAATGTTAGAGTCATTGTTTTATGGTTACAAGAGTGTGTCTTCAGGGCTGTGTTCATTTTCCCTCTTGATTTTCTGTTTTGAAGATGCCTTGCCCAGTGGCATGGAAAGAAGCCCACTTGATAAGAGCACTGACTGTGGATTGATTGACTAAATATGACCCCAGGTGGAAGCTGGCTTTGACGTGAGCTCCCTGTTCAGTCTGACCATTGCTGTCCTCCTGCCACCCAAGAGTTGCACCTGGAATAAGGAACCCCACCATGGCTGTCCCTCTCCATCCCCTCAAGCTAGAATCATGTGTCCAAGTGCTCACCCTGCAGGTGCGCAGCACACGTCAGCCTGGCCAGGGTCGAAGGAAACACTGGAGAGGAAGCCCAGGGCCTTAGAGGAGGCCAGGCGCAAACCCTTTCTTCACCAAGGGCACTCGGAGTTTGTGGGTGTGGGTGTGGGTGTGTACCCCTGCGGGTGTGCCCATGTGTGCTTGCAGGCACATATGTGTGCACTCCTATGTGTATACATGTGTGCTTGTGTGTGCATATGTGTGCATTCCTGTATGTGTGGACATGTGTGTGCATGCATCTGTGTGTCTGTCTGTGTGGTGAGACAGGAAAGAGGGGAGAAAGTGTTGGTGAGGGAGCCTGGAAGTTTTCTCTTCCCCAGCCTCTCTTGCTCTAAGGAGGGATGGGGTTGGGGGCAGCCATTATTGCAGGTGATTGGAGAAGAAAGATTTTCTGACTCAGAAGTAACTGCCAGTGTAGCACAAGCAGTGTCCCTTGTGACTCTGATTCTACAGTTCTCTGATCCCCATGTTTCCTTTAGAGGAAAGAGGAAAAAAGGAACTCGTGGTGGGTATAGGGGGGGAAAAGAAAATAGCTTGGTGGAGGCAGCGGGGAGTCGAGCCTGAGGAAGGAGTGCCTGCAGCTTTTGGAAGTGAAAGCAGAGAGAGGGAAAGGTAGCTAAGACGTCCAGGAGTATCAAGGGGCAGCGTGAGAGGCACAGGGGGAGGAAAGGGAGAGGGTGAGTGCGGCCAGGGAAGAGAGCGGTGTGGAGTTGGTGGGCAGACAGTGCAGGAGGAGGGCCAGGCAGTGGGGAGAGGAAGAATCAGAGCAGAGAAACCGCTGCTGCGGAAGGCAGGGAGCAAAGAAGCATAAGAAAAAGAACAGGAGAAAGAACAAAGGCAGAGAAGACCTCCTCAGCTATTTTGGTGCTAGGTAATGTGAAATGCTGCAGTAAATAAAAGCCAAAAGTAATGTTTGATTTTACAATATTTACAAACCATATGCTTTAAACAGCCCACAAACTTCATCCAGTTGTCTGATGATGTGGGAGGACCAGCTCTAGTTAGACAGAGGTACGTGATTGGATTCTGGTGGAGATTTTGTGCCTTGAAAGACTTCTCAAGAAAGCAGTAATAAAACAAAGTGTCCTTGTTTGGCCAGGCTGTGTCTGGTGTCTGTGTGGCATAACCCTCAGGTAGAGAGTGAGAACGAGACCAAGGGGTGACAGGCGTCATCAGCCTGCAGGAGCTGACCCCATAGGCAGGTGGTATAAGCAGAGCTTTCAGAACCCCTGGAACTCGGTGTTTTGTTCTAGCTAAAGCTACTGAAGGGTATTTTGTACTGAGATGCCAAAGCGTCCTTCCCGTGCTCGTCAGCATGCCTCCATTCAGAAGGAACCCACAAGGAATGAGGGTTGTTAGCGGCCAGGTAAAGAGGACAAGAACCAAACTGTCCACGTTATGAACGGGCGGGGGAAAGGGAGCTCAACCTCCCTCAGCCTCTGGTGCTGCCAGGGGGAGTCCCTCCCCCTGTGTCCCCATGGGCCCTAGTTTCTACCGGATAGCATTTCAGCACCAGAGGAGGGTCCAGCCAGCGCCTCTCACCAGTCACACAACCAGCAGCCAACACATTGTCCCCGAGTTTAGCTGCAACATTCTATGTGACTTGGGAGCTTGGCGCTTCCAGAGAAAAGCCAGTTCCTGTTGGACCAGTGGTTGGGTTTTCCTCACCACTTGCTGTGCCTCACCGCATTTCAAATATCTGGCACCAGCCACTGCCCACCCACTTTTAGATGGCCCCAGGGTGATCTAACCATGGTGCTTTTCAAAATTTAAAGTGCCTACCAATTGCCTGGGGATCGTGTTGAAATGCAGCTTCCAACTCGGTCCTGAATTTCTAACAAGCTTCCGGGTGCTATTACTGAGTACACATGTTAAGTAGCAAAGGCAAAGAACTTAGCAGTGAGCAAAACTCTAATTGGGTTCTTCTTCTGAGGCTATTCGGCCATTTTTCTTTGCTGCTGACGAATAGGTCACTTTGGCTTTGGGACAGATGCAATGCAGAACTGTCGTTATTGACGTCATTCATATTTGGCGGCCCCGGTGACTTATTATTTTAGCATCTTTATCTAGAATTAAAAAAATGTAATGTGAGAGGAATTCAGATGAAATGCAAACAGGAATTTCCTATAACAATTACTATTTCCTAATAGTAATTATTTTAAACATGAGCAGAGGTTGCAGAAGTTGTAAAATTTTTGTCAGGAAATCTTTAGTCATAAAATTGACTCTGGTCAGACGTGGCCCTGGTTGGGGCAGGGGACTGTGCTCCCAGCTAACCTAAAACACGACAGCCCATCCGGGGGACAGATTAGCATGGCCGAAATATTTGCCGTTTGCCTTGTCTAAGCCAACATTTCAGCCCGTCTATACCAAGGCAAGGGTGTGAGAAAAACCTTGATTGTCTCAATTCTTTCTAAAAAATGCTTCCTCAGTTCCTCCACTTTACTCCCTCACCTTGGCCATGCCGCCATTGTCTCTTGCTTTGGTAATTGTCAGCTTTCATACCCTTCTCCCTGCATTCTCTCCTGTAATCCGGCCCTCCACACAGATGCCAAAGCGATCTTTGTAAAAATAAATCTGATCACATCACTCCCCTTCCTACTGGATTTAGGTTTAAGTGCAAAGTCCTAATGTAGCCCTGTGAAGTCTGGCGCCTGCCTCACTCCTCAGCCTCCTCTTCTGCCTCCCCTGCCCCTTGCTTTTATGCTCCTGCCCCACTGGCTTTTCAGCCTCCAAATAGCCAGGGATTTGTCCCCAAACCTTTCACACTTGCCATTCTTGCTGCCTGGAGGCACATCCCCTGCTAACCCTGCTAACTTTTGTTCATCTCCAGGTCTGGGTTGGTTTTTTGTTTCAGATGGGGTCTTGCTCTGTTTCCCAGGCTGGAATGCAGTGGCACAGTCTCAGCTCACTAGAGCCTCTGCCTCCCAAGTTCAAGTGATTCTCCCACCTCAGCCTTCCGAGTAGCTGAGATTACAGGGGCATGTTACCAGGCCTGGCTAATTTTTGCATTTTTGGTGGAGACAGGGTTTCACCATGTTGGCCAGGGTGGTCTTGAACTCCTGACCTCAGGTGATCCACCTTGGCTTCTCAAAGTGCTGGGATGATAGGTGTGAGCCACCATGCTGGGCCCAGGTCTGGGTTTAAATGTCACTTCCAAACAGTCCTCCCCTGCCCCCTAATCTAAAATAATCCTTCTCCTAAGATGGTCTCATGAATCCTGTGCCTTTTCTGAATAGCATGTACGCAGATGATGGTGCCAGACTGAGCTGTATGACTATTAGACTGTAAGCTCCACGGAGCAGGGATCACCTCTGTTTTATAAACCGTTGTACAGCCAACATCTAGCACACAGAGGCTCAGTAAATATTTTTCTAATGGAGGAATGATTGGACCTGCTTCATCTCATCTATTTACTCGTTTTGTAACTCAACTGTCTTGGGCCTAACAGACCTATGGGTGCAAACAAGGTCATATTTACAATGATATCCAGGTTCCAGTAGCTGTAGCCACTGTCTTTGGATTCTCCTCCAGTTAACTTCCGAGAGGCCAAGAGAGGGAGGCTGGTATCTCTCACGTGTTTAGGCACCAGTATACTCACACTTCCTACTCTGGTTCCAGTGCTCTGTTGTCCCACACATCCTCTGCTGACAATGCCTTCCTAGATACTGCAGATCCACTATGTACCACATTTATCTGCTGGTGAATTGACCCGATCCTTCAGGACACCAAATCCGCCCTGCAGTCCCCATGACAAGAAGATTGGGGAAGAGGTAGAGGGGAGGATGGCCTGTGCCCAATTCTGAGAGGCACTGGTTGGTCCCTGGCTCCCTCAGCATCTTCCATGAGCACAGCTGGCTCTCTTCTCAGCCGAGCCCTCCCTCCATCAGACAGAACAGGGGATACCAACCCTTCCCTCCATCTCTCTTTTCTCACTCTTCCCCGTTGCCTCTTTCTCCTTCTGCTCAAAAGAAGCGGAATGTACCTACATGCCATCATTAGCTCCCAGCTAACCTGAAACACAACAGCCCACACTGGGGACTGATTAGCATGGTCAAAATATTTGCCGTTTTCTTTGTCTAAAGTCAACACTTCAGCCTGTCCATACCAAGGCAAGGGTGTCCCCTGCAC